TGGGAAATGCGAGACACCTCACACACGCTCAAGCGATTCGTGGCTCCGGGGGGCCCCGCGCAGGGCTGTCTTCTGGGGCGCCTGGTGGCCTCTTGGGGACACATCAGCGCCATACTGGCGCTTCTTGGGTCTATTCTGAAGCCAACTTTGGCTTTTGTTATCTTGGGCTGCGCTGCAGCTACTGTCCTGGTGCTTCTACTGTCTTGGTGCTTCTTAGGTCTTCGGTCCATCCTGAAGCCAGCTCTGGCTCTGTCATCTTGGACTACGCTGCAGCTGCTGTCTTGGTGCTCCGTGGGTTCATCCCGAAGCCAACCTTTTGACTTTTCTTGCTCTCTTGTCGGCGGCGAGCCCGTGGGGAGGTGAGAAGGAGAGGGCCTTCTCAGACCGCTTGGAAGTCCCCCGGCCTTCTGAGAAGTTCCCTGAGCCGTTCCCGAAGGCTCCGAACACTTCTCAGGAGGCGCGAGGGCTTCTGAGAGGTCTCGCCGCCTTCTGAGGAGGCCTTCTTAGGGGGCCACACGCGAACCCTACCCCTACCCCCCACGATTTCTGAGGGGGAGGGTGGGGTTCATTTCGTTTTTTTATTGTTTTTCTTTCTTTCTCTCTCTCTCTCTTTTTTTCCTGTCTCTCTCTCTCTCTCTTTGTTTCTTGTGCTCTCTCTCTCTCTCTCTCTCTCTTTAGGAATTCTGATAGGGATCGGGCCACCTCTAAAATAGTCCAATCAAGGCTTATCCTATATCAATATTACTGAGTTAGATTTGGATTCGGTGCACCTCTATTATAATCCTCTCACAGGTGGGGCGACTCCTAACATAATCCTATCAAGGATGGAACCACTCGGGATGTATACACCTCTGATTGAATCCTATTAGGGATGGGGCAACCTCCAGTATCCGATTCGGGATGGAGCCACCTCTGATGCAGTCCCGCCAGTGATGTTGCACCTTCTACTACAATCCTTTAGATATTGAGCAACCTCGGACAGCGTCCTAATAGGGATGGGCGCACCTTTAATCCTCGTATTAGGTATGGCGCCACCTCGAATGAAGTCCGATCAGGGAGGGGTAGAGCCACTTGTAATATAATACTATTCTTAGCGGCCTCACGTCTAACAACATCCTAAAGCAGGTCTGGAGCCACTTGCAATATACTCAGATGAGGGATGGAGACACCTCTAATGTAATCCGAGCGGGGAAGGCCCATCTCTAATCGTCTACTATTAGAGGTGGATCCACCTCTAACCTAATCTTACTACGATCAATGAAGAATTTAATGAAGGATTCACAGGTGTCAGAATCCTATTAGCGGTGGATCCACCTCTAAGCGAATCCTGTCAAGGAGGTAGCCACGCGTACACATAGACATCCATTACATATGGGTCCACCTCTACTGGAATCCCATTAGAAGTGGGCCCACCTCCAATCGAAACCGATTAAGGATGAAACCGATTGGGATGCACTATTTCCATTTGAATCTCACCGGAAATGGAATCGCCTCTCGTAAACTGCAGGGTCCCTGGGGTCACCTGTGACTAGCCATTTCGATGCCGTGCTAAGCCGTGCTGGCTCCTGCTAAGCCCTGCTCGGCCTAGCCGAACCCTGCTAGGCATTGCTAAGCATTGTGGGCTCTCTCTGCTAAGCCCACAGACGTTCTGCTAGCCACCTGCCAGACCCAGCTAAGCTTTGACAAACCCCATCAAGCCCTGCTAGCCCCTCCTATGCTCTGCTGGTACCCGCCAATCTCTGCTAGCACCTGCTAGCCTTGCTAAGATTTGCCAGGACCTCGATAACCTGCTACGCCACGCGATGCCTTTCATCAGGGATGAACCTATTGCTCATGCAAGCCTATCAGAGGTGGATCCACCTCTAACATAATCTTACGACGAAGGGTGAAGCAACATGTAATACTACCCGGACAAGGGAAAACCCAGATCTAATGTAATCCAATGGGAGGTGGATCCACCACTACTCGGATCCTTCTATGGACGGGGTTACGGGTAAATGACTTGCATGCAGTGTGGCATTACCTCTAATAGAGTCCAATTCGAGGTGGCTCCACCTCCAATAGATTTCCATGGCGGATGGAAGCTCCAGGAGTATACTCGTATTCGATGTGGGTGCACTTCCATTGGGACCCCATGGGGGATGGAGCCACCTCTGATCTAATCATCCTTCGTCCCTGCTAGGCCCCTGCTAATCGCTGCTGCGCCCTGCACCGCTGAGCCTTGCTAGCCAATGCGATGCCGTGCTATGCCCTGCTGGCCCCTGCAAGAACCCTGCTAGGTCCAGCCGCGCCCTGCCAAGCACGGGTAAGCGCGGCACAGCCCTGTTAGCCCTCTGCTAGGCCTTGATAAGTTCTGCCGGCCACCTGCCAAGCCCAGCGACGCACTGATCAGCTCGACCAAGCCCTTCTAGGCTCGGCTCGTCCATGCTGTGCCCTTCTGGGACTTGCCGGCAGTTGCTAACGCCTGCTAGCCCTGCCAACCCCTGCCAGCACCTTGGTC